GGTTTTGGGTTTTGGGTTTTTTTTTGAACGCCTCTTTTTCCTGCTCGCCAAATCAGAGAGTTGGGTTTAGGGTTTAGGGTTTAGGTCCTCTTGAAATAACACTGGTTCAACAGAAAGTTTTGCTTGCCGATGATCGTCAAACTCGACTTGTCGGCACGATGTAGAATGAGAAGCTTTGAAGCAGACGACGTTGTCCCAAGGGCGCTTCGTTGGTATCAACACTTGCCTCCTTAACCCCTGTTACAGTACTGGAAATTGACGGTGCCAGCCCTCAGCAGCATGAAAGCACAACGGAAAGGGCGGGGGGCTAGGACTGGGCTTGGGTTTAGAAAAGTTTTGGGTACGTATAGGGCCTTCAGGGTTTAGGGTTTATGCCCGTTTTGGGTTAGCCGCCGAAATACGACCCTTGAACTTGTCGCCGATATTTTACGCCTAACGCCGCAACCAAAGCATTTTCGAAGCCAGATGGCTTGCTTGCCTCCGATCATCAGTGCCTTCGCGCACCACTGGCCAAAGCTGACCGTCAGGGTCTGCGTTTGAAGCAGGGTGTTCATCACATACTTGTATCCACTAAGGGGCATCCAAACATGCACTCTCAAAAGGTCCTAAGGAGCCGTGTTATCACGAATCGCGAACCAAGGCCGTAATGAGGACCCCACTTCACATGGGTGCTTGCCGATCTAGTTCCACATGTCTTCCCTCAAGGCAGTAACAAAACACGGGAGGACATGCTCTATCATAACAGGTCACCTTCGATTCTGCGGCATTGCGTCGGATTGATTCGAGCTGCAAGGGATGTTTCGAGACAGAAATGTTGTCAACACATATATGAGTATGCACAAGTACAGGTAAGCACACGTTCGAAACAGCACGTGCGCATGTACTGACATGTATGTTTGCTCATGTCAGTGTATGTGCATGTTTGTGTGTGTGTGTCTCCGAAACCACGCTTTGGAAGACATGTGCCATTATTGGCAGGAACGAAAGGGGCATGCAGCGCTGAGACATTAGGGAAGGGCGACAAACAGCACAAGCCTCTGACATTCCCAGGACAGTACGTGTGCAATTCGCGAAGTTCATTCGGGGAGAAAGGCCCCAAGCCCGAGACGTGTCAGAGGAGCTGAAAATGGGCACTGCTTCCAGTGCGAATACTTGCTGCAGCATACATGTCTGTACCCGGAACTTCATGAGCTTGGACTTTCGCCTTGTGCTCAGGTTCCGCTGTTACTGATGTTGTCAGTGCGAAACATAGAAGGCTTGCAAGGCTCCTCAAAAAGCCGAAACCTATATAGACGTCTAAATGGCAGTATATATATATATATATACATATGTACACGTGTTTGTTATTCATGACGGTCTGTTTTGATGCTGACTTAAGATGCATGCTCATTGGCAAACACTTCTCAATTGAGGGCTCAGGATTCAGCGGACCCGTCGCTGGTCGAGCCGGTGGAAACCGAAGAGGACATCTTGTTGGAGGCCTTTTTGCGTGGAGCCTTCACCTTCGGCATGACAAGCAGAACATTGAAAATCTTAGGTTTACGGTGTAGGCCTTAGGGGTGTAAGAGTCTCGGGTTTAGGGTGTAGGGCTTAAGAGTTTAGCGCTTAGCGTTCCAGAGCCCAGAAATATGGCAAGAACATTGTAGCATGCAAAATCTCAGCCAAACATAACCTGTGAACAGGTGTACCGCTAGTCTACGTATGGCCAGTGACCTTCTTATGGAGTGCTCGTAGGACGACTATGACCATGGCTACTTTCCCTCGCATCATTACAACTACAACTACTACTAGCAACCACCACTCTTAGCCATTCTATCACTTACTCATGATGTTCCTTACTGGTGACGTAACCATTCATTTTAATTTTTGTGACTACGTATGTTGCGTCTTATTCCACGCAATTAAACCCCAAACCGCCTAAACCCTACACCCTGACCCGTTTTGTACAGCAGCCTGATTAGTGCTTGCTGGCCGGGGTTTTCAGAAACTTCGAGCAGTTAGGGGCTTAGGGTTTAGGGGTTTGGGGTTTAGAGGGGTCTAGGGTGTAGGGTTTGGGGTTTTGGGTTGAGGGTTTAGGGTGTTTGCTGGGAACCCTTGCTTTTCGTCGAGCGACTCGCACAGGCCGCGAGGACCCCCAACCCGACACTAATCCATCTCAGCTGTGGTTTGCTGTGAAACGCGCGTTTTATGCAGAACTACGAGGGGAGGTTTAGGGGTGAGCCTGAAACCCCAAATGAGAATAGTTGGGGTGGTTGGGGCGGGACTACGTGCTGATGCAAGCGCGCGATAAGTGGGTGCGCCCCTACACCCACCACGTACACACTGTATACACACCCCAATCCCTCAACCCTAAACCCTAAATCCTCAACCCTCAGCCCTAAGCCCTAAACCCTAAACCCTAAACCCTCAGCCCTAAACCCTAAACCTAAACCCTCAACCCTATAAACCCTGAACCCTCAACCCTAAACCCTAAACCCTAAACCCTCAGCCCTATACCCTAAACCTTTTACAGCAGGCCTCGTACACAGCAGCCCGGTCCCCAGCACACTCGCGCACTGTAAGGCGAGAATCGACACTGAGATCTCTCTATACACTATCTTATACCCTAAACCTAAACCCTCAACCCTAAGACCCGAATTGGGATCCGGTCCTTCGAAGACCGCAGGGTCGCCGAATCGATGGCCAAGGCATCGAAGAGGACTTGACTCGCCACGGAGCCGCCCTGCGCCGCCTTCGGCAGGGTTGAGGGTTTAGGGCTTAGGGGCTTGGGGTTTAGGGGTTTAGGGTTGAGGGCTGAGGGTTTAGAGTTTAGGGTTGAGGTTTTAGGGTTTAGGGTTGATGGTTTAGGGTTTAGGGGCTCAGGGGTTTCAGCACTCACAACTGGGACAAGGCTTAGGGGTTTAGGGTTTACGGTTTAGAGTTCGGGTTTTGTTTGCCTCCTTGGTTTCGGGTTTTGGGGGTTGCGCAGGGTTTAATGTGCTTGATAAGGGCCTTTTTTTCCCCTAAACCCTAAACCCTAAACCCTAAAACCTAAACCCTAAACCCTAAACCCTAAACCCTAAACCCTAAACCCTAAAGCAGCTTACGGGGCTCTATAAGGGGGAGCTCAGGGGTCGACCCGGGGTGAAAGATAGGGGGTGCAAGGGTACTACACGGGCTCTGCGTTGAAGGTTGGGTTTAGGGTTTAGGGTTTAGGGTTTAGGGTTTAGGGTTTAGGGTTTAGGGTTTAGGGTTTAGGGTTTAGGGGTGCTATCGGGGATTGATGAGGCTTCTCGTGCTGTGGGGTTTGGGGTTCAGGCTTTGGAGCGAGGGGTTAAGGTGCAGAGCTTGGGCTTTAGAGTTTCGGTTTGCCCTGAGGTCCCAAATCGATAAACCCTAAACCCTCAACTCTCCACCCTAAACCCTAGCTTAGGGCATCGAGTTTCGATCTTCCCTGAGCCCTCCAACTTTTCACCCGCACCTTCGGCTGCAGGCGCCGCTGTGCCAGCTTCTTGCTTTTTGCCTGGCTCAGGCTCTGGGGCCAAAGTTTCAGGGTTTTGGGTTGAAGGTTTCAGGGTCCATGTGGCTTGGGGTTTAGGGCTCACGGCTGGAGGCAGGTTTGGGGCTTTAGGTTCTGGGACTTAAGTGAAACATTCATGGCGGCCTGAAAGGCACCAGCATCGAGCCCCAGGCAGTCAAAGGTAGAGGCGCTGGCCGGCAAAGCGGATGGAGGGTACCTTCAGGACTTTTACGCTCTGCAAGGTTCCTAAATTGTTCTTGGGCTTTGTAAAAGTGCCATTTAAGCCTACATACATCCATGCATGCATGCATGCATGCGTACAGACATACATACATACATACATACATACATACATACCTACATACGTACGTACGTACATACATACAGACAGACAAACATCTGTACGTACGCGCATGCATAAATACATACATACATACATACATACATACATACATACATACATACGTACGTACGTACGTACGTACGTACATAATTACAGAAGTACATACATACATGCATACATATATACACATACAGTTGTACATACATACATGCATACTGACAAATTTCCATATGTTCGTGTATTTACAACTCAAGCTTCCCCAATCACCCGGGAGATGTCAGGTCGAATTTTCAGAGTCATACCGAAATTTAAAAACTAAAAACTGAAAGGTTGGCTATTTCAGAAACAAGGTGCTTCATGTACTGCATCAGTCCGGCGGTCTTGGCATCCAAGGTTGCGGCCATCTTTTCTTGGGAGGTCGTGAGGAGCTTTGGCGCGCACCCAGGGATCTGGACCACAAAATGGCTTGAGCCGGCACGTGCAGTGCAGGAGAGCCGGCAAGTAACTCCACATCCAGGGCTCTAAGCCAACAATCCTGCACCCTCTGGAAGCACTGCGAGTATAAGCCAAGGTAGTACAGGAGCCTGAATCATTTACTAGCGCAACCCTATTCGCCCTATTTTTGTTTTTTCAAGCCCCCATGCAAAGCTTCCTTCTACTCCACCCTAAACCCTAAATCCTAACCCCCAAAACCGAAATGCTCGGGCCCCCACTGGATAGGAATCGCGGCCAGAGTTTCTGCAGTGGGCCTCGTTGATCTCAACCGTGTTGTCTGCCAGGAAGTAGTGGATGATGAAGTATATTCGGGCACCATACCTGGTGCTCTTACCAAGATCTAAGGACTTTAGGAGGGACCTCTAGTAGGGACCCTTAATCCCACTACCTTAAATAACCATTGTATAGTCCTTATATACCCCTTATATAGCCAGGTAGTCTCCATATTAACCCCAATAACCTACAGGGGTCTCTATCAAGGCTCCCTCCTAAAGCCCTTAATTAGACAAGAGCAGGAGCAAGGCAGAGAGCAACAGCAAAAGCAGCAACAACCACAACCACAACGATGCCGTCACTGACACCGAAAGAGACACCAACATCAACACCAGCGGCGGCAGCAGCCAGCAACAACAAAAGCAGACAGAGCAATAAGACCCCGCGAATCCGTCATGGTCGTCATCCCCGACAAATATCATCAGACTGGTACCTGTTCTTATTCCTTATCTTCATCGCCATCCTCATCTCCATCATCCTCATTATATCTGCCTTCCCATCCTCCGCGCCATCGGCACCCTGATCGTCTTTGGGCACGGCATCATCAACCCACTTGGCCCCGGTCAGAACCTACTGACACTAACTTGCATCAACATGGCAGTGTCACAACTTCTCGAATGGCAACTTGTTTTGCTTCCGGTTCTCTTGAGTAGGGAATCTCTGAAACCCAATCTTAAAAACGCTAAACCCCAAACCCTAACTGGCAAGTGCCGAGCGGCGGAGTGGTGTCATCCCAGAAAGCCTTGAATCGCAGCACTTTCCTGCTGCAGCCCAAAATTCCTTTAATTAGGGAATCATGTTCCTCGAAACGCAAGATTAAGGAATTCGATACCTCAAATTATAGGAGTTTTGTCCCGTCTGCGTTCAATACCCTAAACCCTAAACCCTAAACCCTAAACCCTAAACCCTAAACCATTCAAGTATAGTCCTTCCTTAAGTGGTGCTGGGCTCTCTGAAATTATCCAGTGCGAGGCTTTGGGGGCATAACCTCAAACCCTCAAGCCCGTTGGGCTCTAGAGCCCTTAAGGGTTCAAAGGTTTAGGGCGTAGGTTTGCGGTTTATGGTTGAAGGATCACACTATTACTTGAAGTATATTATTCCCCGAAGTTTTTGAAGTTAAAAAAGCTAGATGGGACATAGCAAGTTAGTGTAAGGTATCCAGAACTGAGGGCTCTTTTGGGTACCGGTTTCTGCCTTCGAGGGGGCTACAGCTTCGGATGCTACGGTTGATTATATAAAGCCTGCATTACCCATAATAACGAGTTTACTACAATTCCCACAGTTTAGGGTCCTTAACGAATTTAATACAATTCCCATAGTTTAGGGTCCTTGACGAATTTACTACAACTCCCATAGTTTAGGGTCCTTAACGAATTGAATACAATTCCCATAGTTTAGGGTCCTTGACGAATTTAATACAACTCACGTAGTTTGGGGTCCTTAAGGAGATGCAGGAT